TGCATGCATACATACATGCATACATTGTTGCGCCCCGGCGGACCCCCCCTCCCGTCCCCGCCCAATGGTATTCCCTCATTTGGTCATCCCATGCCGTCATGCGGAACGGCTTGGGCCTTGAGCTTGCGTGTGGAATGGTTGGGTGGTTTGGTTCAGGCCTTCTTCCAATGGTTGTCCGTGTGATCATCCCTCCCCCCTGTGGAGCGGCTGGGGTTTCGAGCTTCGGAGTTTAGTGGTCCCTCCCCCTGGCCTCTCTCTCTGTGGAACAGAGCCCTCTGCGCAGGCGCCGAAGGCTCCAAACCCGTGTATTTGGGGGGATACCATGATGTTAGGCGGGGGGGGGGGCAGAACGCACAGCGCACAAACAAGAAATACATACATACATACATGCACACATACATACATACATACATACATACATACATACACACACACACATATATACATACATACATACATACGTTGCCAAGTGGGAGCCAAGACTATATGTGTATATGTGGTCATCCGCTCCGCCCCCCGCCCCCCCCTCCCCCCTTCCCCCGCTGGGGTGGGGTGTGGGGTCTCTCCAGCGTTGTTTTGGGGTTCCACGGGTTAAAATAGGCCTGGATGCAACAAGGGCTGAGCTTAAGCTTTTGAGTTCAGGGTTTAGTTTCTCAGTCGCATGCTCAGAGGCTGGGAGTGCTGGGTACAAGGCTTTGAGTCGACAAGAGCCTAGGGAGGGTTTGGGGTGTAGGTTCGTTAGGATTCACGGTTTATGTTCTGCTTTAGCCTGCATTTAGGCGCGGTTTAGGCTTGGGTGTAGGTTTTCAAGCACAGGTTTAGGGTTAATAGAAGCAGGAGCACGCGCTACATTATACGGTTCATAGCTTGCATAGGCTCTCGGCCCTCTCTCTGACCGCAGCTCCCACGGCCCCGACCCCTCCCCGCACACACCCGCCCCACCCCATACCATTGAGAGGTCACTGCGGAGCGTGTGTGTGTGTGTGTATATATATATATATGTGTGTGTATATATATATATGTATATATTCTATATCTATATCCATATCTATACCTATATCTCTATCTCTATCTATACCTCTATCTCTATCTCTATCCCTATCCCTCTATCTCTATCTCTATCTCTATCTCTATCTCTATCTCTATCTCTATCTCTATCTCTATCTCTCTATCTCTATCTCTATCTATATATGTATATATATGTGCATTTATATTTATATTTGCCGTGAGCGGGTGAGTGGGTGCCCGAGCTTGCTGGGGAAAGCGCTGGCCTTCGGCTCCCTTGCGGCAGGCCGAGAAGGAGAGCATTCTGACTGAGAAGGTGCAACTGTTAGCGCGGGTTCGAGAGCAAGCAAAAGAGCACTTACTGGAGAGCAGAGATCATGCCAGATCCTTTTCTGCAAGGAGTCGTCATGAATTCCAGTTTCAGCTGTGATCTGGGAGTCTCCAAGGAAAGCAAAGGGTGGCCGAGGAAGCCAAGACGCTCGTACGGATCTGCGGCAGACTTGTCTCGTGGGTTGAGTTTGAGGTTTGTCTACGTATAGCTTCTGCTCTGAAGAACCAAGCGGCCAAGCGAATGTGCCGGCACGGGAGCTTTGTGTTGTCCAGTATTCGCGACATGTGTTCGGGAACATGAGGAAAGACAGGCACAGAGAGGATGTGCTCATAGAGGTAGCGGCCAGGCTGGAGTCCAAGAAGAAGGAAAAGAAGGCTGCTCTCTGATCCCTTTTAGAACTATGCGATTCCTATGCTCGGTCGAAATGTCATCTGCCGCTTCAAGCTGTGCCAGGAAGCAGAACGGCGATTACGAAAGGAACTGCAAGAGAGTCCGAGTCTGCACTGTTCAGAGTTGCAGTTGCGCGGTGCGTGTCTCGCCTGAGCGGCACTAGGGCGCCGACGAGGTGAGGAGGCCGTAAGTACTTGAAACCATTGTCAAGTTAAAATTTGCGGCCAAGGATTGCAACGAAGCAGCAGTTTCAGCTAAGCAGTCAAGATGCCCTCGAAGCAAAGCAGAATGCAGATCCATTGCCGCAGTTCCTTAGTTCTGCCGTGGGTCGGCGATACTTTTTGCGGCTTTGTCTTAGTCAATCAGACGCCGGGACGGACGACTTCGCCCAGCAGCAGAGGCTTTGACCCGTCTTCGTGCCTTTGAGCTAAGGACCAAGTCTCTGGACTCAACAGGGAAGTCTTTCGGCGTCAGGATCGGCTGCTGACGGAGCAGCGGAAGCAAGACCACCTGAAGGCAACGTGTCATGGCTTTGGGCCTGGGGACATAGACATCCCCAAGCATGACCAAAGGGCCCAGTGAGCTTCGGCTGAGCCCAGGCTCGTGCGAAGGATCAGCTGAAGAAGAACGTGGAAGCTTGACGGCTTCCAAGTGCGTGTATGGCTTGCGCTTGCCGGCAGTTGGGTATCGCGGGCGTGCGCAAGATGGTTTTGCCAAGGAGTGTGATCACAGGCATTACTTGGAAATGCAAGATACGGCAGATCGGAGAACAGAAAAGGCCAGGCGCGCAGACACGGCATTCAAGCTACCCGGCAGATTCTGGCACTTTGTTTCTTTTTTGTTTTTGTGTGTGCGTGGGGCAATGGTGAACGTGCGGAGAAAACCTCATTTTTCACCAGTATGCGAACCAAAGCAGGACGCCGTTTTCTGCAATCTTGTGCACGCACCTGCCATCCTGCAACCCTTTTTGAAGGCACAAGCCGAACCCCCTCACTAATCAACCACGGCAAATGTTTATGCGCAGTTCCCTTCCGATCTTGAGTCTTTCGTGCGCGTGTGTGTGTGTGAGTTTTGAGCCGTATGATTTTTTCCATGGCCTATGTTTCACTTACCAGACTTAAAGATACGAGACATGTGCTGTCTTGTGGCAACATCTTAACATTTGTTTGTAGTGAGACTCATCAGGCCGCCAACGGATCAATAGCTAACAGTTAACGCTTTGACTTATCTGTACTACATGATATCATTCAGCGTGTATTCAACTTGACTTCAGCCCCTGGAATCCATCAAATACCTTACATATATTATATGCCCGATGAATCAAAACCCAGCAGGCGTGTTTGTGTGTGTGTGTGTGTGTCTGCGTCCTTCTTTCCATGCCCAAAATGGAGCATAGCTTCAGAGACTTTGCCTAAGCATGCGGTTGCGACGCTGTTCCGAGGAACGAGGTTGCAAATGCATATCGTCACGCGAGAGATCTGCAGCCTGTGACCCAGAATTTGTTGCGTTCGGAGACTTGCTTCCACGCGATCTCGTCTCCCCGTGGTGGACCCTCCCTGCTATCGGAGTGCTTACAAACTATGGTATTGGCAAGGCACAGCCACGAGAACAAGCACATCGATATGTGCCCAAGCACGGAAGCATTTCGCGCAATGGATTCGGGTCTTGTCTACACATGCTGTGTTGCGTGTGCAAGCGCCGAACCACTTGACTCGACGAACAAGGTGCGGCCATTCGGCGAATGCATACTGGAAGAGGTGTTCCAGCCTGCCTGTTTTGCATGCGTAGAAAAGTCAGCGACTTTCAGCATTTTAGTGTGCGAGTTGCACACAGCGGACATCAGCGGACCAAATTAGTCGGCAAAGTCACCACCTGCACATTTGGGCGCAAGGTGGGCGATTTTTGCTTGCACTAGAATTGGGAATTTGCAGTCCGGCAGCTTCCCGTGTCCAGTCAAAGCAAGCTGGACAAATTAGCGAGCTTGGTTGAAGATCACCCAACATTGAACAGAAGCTCCAGTATCAGGCAACAGAGAGACGGCACATGCAGCCATTCCTTTGCATTGTGCTAAAGCTCTCCAAAGGTGTTGCCGATTCGTAGGCCGGTTGCACCAGTTCCGCTTGATTAGCCTTGTGCTCTCTGATTGAGTCGGGGTCGAGTTCACATGGGCTTGTCCTGCTCTTGCTACGGAACTGTCGTGCTTCGCAGAATGCCACCTATCTTGAAGATATCGCTGGCATTTCTTTGTTCGTAGGAGTCACCAGAGAGTGACACATAGATCTGGGGTCGTGCCCTCTCGTGCTGAAATCGAAAATCGTTTGACAAGATGATTCTATGATGGAGTCTGCCTTCTCTTGTGCATTACAGACGCCAGGCATCTCCTGTAGCATGGCCACGAAAAAGCGTAGACCTGAGCAACGCTGGCAAGACGTTCTTGTGAAACTCCTTGACACACTGAGAGCCTCGATTCCGAGGGTGCAGCGGCAGTTGCTGCTGGATCCCACTTGGCTAATCCTAGCCGCCGAGATTGCATGCAGACTTGGTGGCCGAGCTTTCCGTTAGGGCTTTGCTACAAGGCTGAACCTGATGTTGGCAGTGACAGCTCAAGTACCGCCGTGGTCTCAGCCCTTTGCACGCTTGCATTGAGATGGGATCTACCAAACCACCAACGAAGGACCCCTAAGCCCTAAGCTCTAGGTCTCGCATTATGGAATCGGCCTGACCTGAGCTTCCCTATTCTAAGTAGGTGACGACGGTTTGGCCGATTTGGCAGGCCGGCGGTCTCTTCGAGTGAGTGTGGAGTCGGATGGGTGCCTATTTTCGCGAGAACAGGTGCAGTCGCTGATTGACAGGAGTGATCCCAGAACGCTTCAGCCATCGCCCTAGCACATTTTGGCACACTCCTCGAACAGATTGATCACCAACATGGTTCACATATCTCTGGCTGTTGGCCATCTTGCCGATCAGGATTGGAATGAATGCGCACAAGCCTGGCATGCGGCCAGGAGAGGCTATCGCGTGCGCTGCAAGCGCCTGAGCCGAGACTTTGTCTCCTCAGTTCCTGAGCCTCAAGGTACAATCCGCCGGTATGCACGTATTTCACGCCAGTGACTCGCAGGGAGTCGGGGGTCCTCTGTGTTTCCACTCAGCATCTGGGCAAAAGGTTGACCCTCAACTTTGATGACGTGAAGAAGTGCAACGAAGCCGCAGTCCGACCCTTTGAGACCTCGCGCATGCGTGTCGCGTTCGTGTGCTCGCCTGTGACCGCTCATCAGTAAGGTCCATCTGCAGACGCGGAGACGTGTTGTTCGCGGTCAGATGCTGCAGAAGGCGCGTATGTCAGGTGAACCCTTCGTGTGTGTTCCGACTGTCTGTGGCGTGTGCAGGCAGCAAGCTTTTTTGACCAATGCCAGGCAGGGCTCTCATCTGAACTTACAACTCCATTCTTGTCGGTGTAAGCAGATGCCACCAGATGTTCCTCTGTTCTTGGTTCGTGCAAGAGGCGTTGTGGGAGTTGAGACAAGATAGGAGAGCCCGAATCTCTCGATCTGGTGATGTCAGCTGTTGCGAAGAAGTTGTTGGGCTTGTGTTCCAAGTCCCCTGACGACGAAATGTGTGACTGAAATCCAAAGAAGACGAACGTATGTGTGCATGCATCCCTTGCACGATGTGTTGGGCTAGGCACCTTGGGACCTTGTGTTTCTTACAATATGTACCATGCAAGTACTTTCCCATGCAGACTCAAGAGGCGGTCGTGGCCCCTGTTTTTCGTTCAACTGTTTCTGGCTTGCTTCGTGATTTTTGCATTGTTCCCGACATTCAGATTCAGTCTTGTTGTTGTTGTTGCCATGTACGCCACTCGCCACCCCGAAAGGCGGGGAGGAGGTGTGGAGCCTTGCCTTGTGCGAGAGTGAGAGTCGAAAGGTATCACATTTCGGGCTGGCGAGAGGGGTACATGGAGGGTCCTTCAGGTTTGGTTTGATGACGATTGATGTGATGCTACTGGGGTTAGGGGTTGGGGTTTGGGGGGATGATACCGTGCCCTCTGACTTCTGCCCAGTGCTCTGTTTCCGCATGTCATGACGCACATGAAGCCAGCATTGCGATGGCATGAACGGCCGTCTGCGCAGTCACACTTCTGCCCAGAGCTTCTGTCTGTCGAAAACACTGCTCGACTCGCACAGATCCATGGGTTAACAACATTCCCATTGCCCTCTAGCATGTCGCCTGCGTCTACCCAGCGTTGGTCGAGAAGGTTTTCCGCGGCATCAAGCTGCATCAGGTCAACCACCAGGCCGCACAGTTCACTGCTAAGCCCACAGGACCCAGATCGAAGAACATCAAGTTGGCAGGAACTCAGGCTAGCGATGGTACTTGGGCACACTTAAAGAGGGTGTCGCTTTCTCACTGCATGCTAACAAAGATCAAGGCACCAAGACCTGTCATCTGGATATCTGGAAATGCTTTCAGTTATGTCTGTGTCTGTAGTAGTAGCAGTAGCAGTAGCAGTAGCAGTAGCAGTAGCAGTAGCAGTAGCAGCAGTAGTAGTAGTAGTAGTGGTGGTGTCGTGGTGGTGGTGGTGGTGGTAGCAGTAGTAGCAGCAGTTGGCAGTAGTAGCAGTAGTAGTGTAGCAGCAGCAGCAGCACCAGGAGTAGTAGTAGTAGTCGTTGTCGTCGTATCACTAATAGTAGTAGCACTAGTAGTAGTAGTAGTAGTAGTAGTAGTAGCAGTAGCAGTAGCAGTAGCAGTAGCAGTAGTAGTAGTAGTAGCAGCAGCAGCAGCAGCAGGAGGAGTTGCAGTTGTCGTCGTAGTTATCGTGGAAGCAGCAATAACTGTAGCAACGCCGGGCCCCGATTCCACTGTGCCCGACGATATGCCAGGCAAGCTTAGTTGACCCCTCATCGGAGTAGCTGCACCATTCAAGTTAGAATGGCCCCTTCGACTACTGGTGTCTGCCTTTGGCCACCGAGCATGCTAATCGAGAGCATCTCTGTCCAGAGCAGGAGTGCATCTGCCATGCCGCGGACAGCCTTTCCTCTACAAGCTGACAGCAACCACTATGCCAAAGTCACTAATCATATCGTGATGGTTGATCTCGTCTTGACCATTGTTGTTACAACTTCTTCAGCGCTGGCTGGCCTTGCCTGTCCTTTCTACTAGTCTTGTCCTGTCGTGGTCGTCCACCGGGGCATCGACAGTGGTTCAGACCTGGCCGGCTGTGGTTTGCGGGTGGCCGTTGTCGTTTCATTCCGATCTTCGCCAAGGCCGGCCAAACCAACTCTGCAGACCATGACGCCCCGGTGGCCAGGCCCTCAGGTGTCCGAACGATGGACAGGGCAAGCAGCTTTATCGATGAAGGGCAGCTTCTCCCAGCAAGGCTCTCGAGTCTGTCACAAGCAGCATTTTCTGACTGGCGCCGACTTCCCTCCATCTTCATTCCCGCAGATATGCCTATCCTACACGCTCACTTTTGCTTCCTCATGGATGTACACAGGCCGGACAGCAGTTCATCGCCCCTGCCTTTCACCTTTACCGTCAGCTGGAGCCAACAAGTGTCCGGCAAGCCGGTGAGCATGATTGTCAAAAAGACGACACAACATTCCTTCTTCGAGGGGCAAGCTTGCTTCCAGCTGGTTCGTTGATCCCATGATATGCTCTTCCTGCACAGATTCATCAGTTAGCTTTTCCTAACGCGTCGAATTCTGGGCTCAGTCGCATAAATAAATGAACCACTGAAAAGAAGCACACGGCATTTGTTGGACTCTGGGCAGAGATCGTAGCATTGTCTAGCCAAAACCTTTCCATAGGATTGGCACGCAGTAATGTAGTCGGAGCCATGCTGCAGCCGCGGATGAATGCTGCGCTGTATGGCTACGACACGCAGACTTTCCATGACCATCCACAGGAACATGCTGCAATTTCGCAACTCGCCCGATTTCAGTGCGCGACATGTGGCAATCATATGCAGGCTCAGAGATGCCAATCCGTCTGCCCAAGACGTCGTCATGTTCGATCTGCAAGCCAAAATTCCTGCATGGGCCTCCATCCAGGAAGCAGCACAAGCCGGATCAAGAGCCGGCATTTCCAGCCTCTGACTCTGTTTGATTGTTTCATTTGCATTTGCTGCGTTCTCTGGGCTTTCTTGTTCCATCGCAAGTAATGCAGCTGTGCTAAGCTCTGTTTGGATGCCCAAGGCTGTTTACAGGGTCGGAGCTGCCACGCAAGCAGCTGTGACCAATCAGAAAGCGCCAACCTTTGGCGCCCCGTTGGAGACAGTCAGTGCAGTCCAATCCGATTCGCCTCCACCTTGGCTCTCGGGTCCGGGAAGCCAAGGAAGGTTCGAAAGCAAGGCAGAGGCAGCGATGTGGGAAGCATTGGGTCGAGCGGCCACTCGGCGACCCTTAATGGGAGATGCATATGAATAGTTTTTGTGGGATTTCGCCGCACGGAAGCGAGACTCTCTATTCTGTGCCAAGATGCGCCAAGGCGATCCGACGAATGAGCAATCCACCAGTTGCGGGTCCTTGGCCAGCTGCAGCAGCTTTGTTCAAGGAAAGCTAGGAGCAACGTGCAGGGAACGCGAAAGAACTCTGTGTGCACAGCGCCTTGTCCTGTAGTGTTCCTCCGCCTTTTCAGTACGTGTAGGCACTGGCTCTCACACACAGCGACCGCAACACGGCTGCCACCCTCACGCAGGCATCACACTTGCAAGGTTGTGGGCTTGACGCGATGTGCTGTCGATTAATCACATCCCCTAGCATTAAACGGCGGGCCCCTTCCTCAATGAAAACCCTCGAATAAGTGTTTTTGATCTGAGGGTGTTTGTCTCCACTGTCACTTTTTCTGGTCTTGCTCTTGCTTTTGCCCTGCTCGTGCTCTTGGTACTGCTCTTGCTCGCTTGCTCCTGCTCTGCTCTCGCTCTGGCTCCTGCTTTTTTTGCTCTTGTTCCTGAACCGAATTAAAAACAGTTTTTACAAGGCGGAGATATGGCTAGGGGGATCTTCCGGAAATTGCTTCATTCTTCGTGGCGGTGTCTAGTCAATGGTGGAAGTGATTAGTGCATTCGCAAGTGATACTTCTCTGAGGTTGCCTTGTAAATCTGTCAATCAATACACTGCCGTTTTTCGCTGGGCTTGCATGTGATGGTGTAAGCGGCACGTCGCCAGACAGAGAGCAGCCTTCGGCAGTCTGCATGAGCCGTGCAGGTTGGAGAAGTCGGGCGGAAGCGCCCCAGTTTTCTGCCACCTCCAGATCCGGCAAAGAGTGGACCGCTACCTCCGTTGCTCGAAATGCAGAGCCACACCACATGCGAGTCTTCGAGAGCAGCTTTCGAGGCTACCAACCTTTGGTGATGGAGTGGGCCACTCGCTGCCACCTTTGCCTCCCCTCCAGTGCCGAGCTTGAATATCTTGAATTATGAACACGGATGGGTAAATGCACACCTCAAGAACTTCCGATGATGATGTGCTTTGAGCCTACTTCTCATGTGCAGACGGACATGGTTGATGAAGCTCGAGTCTTCTGCGGAATTGCTTGCGACGACTGCAAATTTGGAGTAGACCCCACACTTTCCATGGCTCATGTTCAAGACGAAACTTCTTACGAGGGGGAGTTTTTTCACGATCATCCGGCCGATATAAACACCAGGCAGCAAATCCCAAGAGCAATGACTCATGGCAGAACCCAGCTCGCATCAGCTCGCTGGTGTGATCGCACTCAGGGGCCCGGCGCCGCTGACGGGAGTTACCTTGCAAGCCTATGCCGGCAGCTACGGCGGGGCCAAACAGCCTAGTGTGGGACCTGGCTTCATGCGTCGCTGTTGTGTGCTTCGTGGGCCACGCTGCGGCCCAGGTGGAGGAGGAAGTCACGGAATGCAGTTTGGCGACCCATTTTCTCCGCCATGGATGTTTGCTACTCCTCCTACTGACATCACGGAGCCCTGGATGCCAGGAGTCACGAGCTCGGAATATGTGCATCTGTGCTAGAAGCTCCTGCTTTGGACTTCCTGGCTGCTTGGCTGCTCCGCCGTCATGCTGAGTTCGACAATGCCGGAGATCAGCTGCTGGAAATCGGAGCCTGGCAATCGGCGATGCCACCCGTGACTCTCTTGAGTGACTTGATATGCCCCCTCTCTCTCAAGGGCAGGCGGCTCAAAGGATTCCTCTGAGTGGCCCAACCCGGCCGCTTAGAACTCGCCACACTTTCGCCAGCTCGGAGCCCAAAGTGGCTTCGTGTCTCTCTGGTGTCGTGTGCTAAGAGAGAAACGCCGTACATGCAGAGAGCAGCTATCTTCAGCTCGATGTGCAGCTTGGGAGCTTGCACCGTGTCGTTTGAATCTCCCGTGCTGCAGCCATCCAAAAAGCATGCTCAAGCTTGTGTGCCAGCTGGACAGACAAACCAAACACACGCCCAAACCACGGAAACAGTGAGGTGTTCCTCCTCCCTCTCTCTTTGTCATCCGTGTGTGCACGCAGTGTGCTGTTTTTTGCTCTTTCAATGCAGCGGCTTTGTCCCGTCATGTATGCGTTGATGCAAGCAGAGCCGGCCGCCTCCAAAGAGCATCTGGGCTTTATAAGTTACGTAAAGAGAACCGGGAGCACCGTGCTTCGCGGATCCCTGATCCCTCGCAGGGTCGAGGCGGTCAAGGAGCCGGAAGCTGCCCCTGGCGCCACAGGGCGGCTGCAAGGCCCTGGCGGCCCTGGGGTGCGACAGGACGTGGGGACGTGGACTTGCCATCCACTGGGCGGGAATGATCCTTGGGAGCCGTCAGGATCATAGCAAGCAGTTCTTCATTTGTCGAGAACTCTATGCCGAGCCCAGGGCTCAGTGGCCTGGAACTGTATGTCTTGGCACGCCGAGTCTCTTTTGAGCTTGGTTCTGCAAGGCACAGGGCCAAGACCATGGCTCCAAGACTCGACCCTCGCAGTCATGCTTGCTGTTTGCATGTGGCTGCTCTAGTACTCAGACCGCAAGGAGTGGCTGCTGTCCATTATTTCTAGCGGGGACGTGCAGCAGCTGAAGCATTTCATGGAGGAAGCTGGGCCGACAAGTACGTGTCGTTTGGGCTGGTTTGTGTTTCGTTCGGCTTAGTGGCTCGGACAGGAAGACGATTTTTCATGAGCCCATACGGCCGTCAGCACCTCTCCTCCCAAGTAAACATGCGCGAGAAGAGTTCCCATGACATCAGAACCTGAATGACGCATGATGATGACAGCGGTTTTTCTTGCATGTTTGAAGCGTGAGTGCTTTTGTGAAACTTCACTTGCAGCTTCGCATAGCTTGCAGGCTTTTTACCGGCAAGGCAAAGATGCAACGCAAGCTGGAGAAACCTGCAGTCACTGCAACGTGCGAGTGACCACTTCCAAGAACTGGTTCAGAACCAGACAGGCCGGACCTTGTTGTCACTGGAATTGACTTGGCCACAGAGTGTGTCGCATTGTGCTTCCCGAAGCAGATTCTGGCTTTGGCTACAGGCCACGGATGAGCAGCCGGCCGTCCGCTGCATGATTTGTATGAAGTGGCACTGTGAGCGGTGCCTTCTCGTGAAGACGGCGGGGGAGCCCGGTTTGCGGAACGGGTCGTGCACGAATGGAAAATCTGAGGCACTGCAAGCAGTTCGTGAATCTGGGATTTGCGGCGCAGCTAGTCAAGCTTGAGTGCTGCGAGACATGTCACAGAGGCGTGGCCGCTTGGTTGCAAGCGACCAACGGCTTGGCTTTCGCATAGATGCGCCTGAAGTAGAACCGACAGCATGGCCAAGGAGGTCCTGCGATGGCGCCAGGACATCTTCTGCTGGTTCAATGGTGGAACTGACTTTTGCTTATGCGTGGTCTTACTACACCGATACTCCAGCAGGACGCCGTGCCCTCGTGTCTGTCCGACGCTGAACGCCAGCTCACCAGCTTGCATGCAACGCCTCTTCTTCCAATTATTTGGGGCCCTCAAAAAGCAACTTTGCCCCAGACAGCTCCCTGAAAGACTTGGAAGCGGGACTGCGAGTGGGTCTTCTTCTGCCGTGGCCGGGGGGGGGGACAAGCACAATCGCGGCACAATAACGAGTGTCTAGAAATTGACGATGAGATTACAGTTGTAAATAGTGTTCATCATCCACTCACAACAACGGAAGATAATACTTGGACAGAATTACTTGCGTGCTCAGGCGATAAGTAGAATAGCACCCAGGGCAAGGAAGTAGGTCATCCTTACACTACCTTTCACCGTCACCCTCAAGTCAAGCAACCCTCATTGCAGTAACACGGAGGTTGTTTGAGCAGCTCACGAAGCTGCCCACTGCCCTGGCCCAGCTGGAGGGGACCTCACGGCTCTTGGAGGAGTTGCAGACGCCTGGTTTGCAATGACATGCGCCTGTCCCACATCGATGTGCCAAGCTTTGCCACTCCAACCTGCAACATGTCACAGGGCACGAGGAACTTTGCAAATTTGCAAGCTCAAGCTGGCTGGCAGGCCTAGCTTGCCTGAGTGCTTGTTGTCATGTCAGTTCGTTGATACTGGCGTATTTCTCCAAGGAACAGGGGGGACGAACCTTCCCAAGAATGCTCTCGGGAGGAATTGCAGGCAAACTCTCTTGTCTTGGCTGCTGTAGTGGAGCCTGTGCGCTACATGGCCAGGAGTGCTTGGCCGCTATGAAGCGCAGTCGTTCCAAAGCCCAAATTATGATGCTAATGTGCCCATGATCCCACACTTTTAATGCGGAAAATAGTGAGGGGGATGGTGTCCAAGGCCTCGATGCAGAAGCTGCAGAAGCGGCCATCGCCCACTCACTGCTTCTCCTGGACGAGCCATGCAGGGAGGCACATGCCGGAACGCACACTCGGAAAACTATTCGTGGTTTTGAAACGGGCTCCCTGTCAGTTAGCATCAGGCCAATGGTCTTTCCAACCCGAAGAATGGTCAGGTCCGTGATGGCCTACTAAGGCGAGGTTCAGCAGGCAAATGCAGTCGCCCAATATCGGAATGGCTTTCAAGGCACGGAAGGCAGCAGCTGGAGCAGCTGAAGCCGCGCCTCAAAGCGGCCTGTACACGGGCGAGACTGGGATATGAGAAGAGATGCAGACCTTACGGGGATGAGAGGATTGAGAGACCCTGCTGTAAGTGTAAGGACCCTGACATCTGCGAAAGCAGAGACCATGCTGCCGAGATGCCGCGCGCAAACCACATAGTGTTGGCAGATGTCATCCGGAATTGAGTGCAATGCTCTGCACATGAAATTTGGAACAGAGTCAAAGGACTGCTTATACTGTTCCCAAAGAGTCTTCCAAAAAGAAGTCGAAACAGATGACCAACGTCATAGATTCGTTTCACTTCGGTTCCAGTGCCGCAGGGTAGGAATCTGCGGTCCTGCAAGGCATGTCTGCTCATGCGAGGCGCCATGAGAAGCGCCCGAGGTTGTACAGACATGAGCCAGAGATGCGCAATATGCTTGCCTTCTACCGGTACAGTGGCAATGGAGAAGAGCAGGGTTCTGCGTGGAAGGGTGTCGATTCGATCGCATCACTGGGGGCAGTTTCAGCGCGTGCATCAAATGAAGCATGACGTGTCGTGGCTGTGAGCGCCGGCCGGTTCTTGCGGACAAACCATGCTTCTACTATGATGCCCTAATGTTTATTCACGTTCCATTCTGCAGGCTACCATATCAAATGGCCGGGCCGGCGCATGTAGTGCTCTAAACAGCTCATGAAGTAGTATGGCCTGTCGTGGCGGCTCGGCGCATGATTGTTCCAAGGCGCACCGGTCGGCTAGTCAGTTCACATGTGCCGCAGTCTCGTGTGCAGGCGGATTGCTTGGTCCAAGTCCGAGACCTTGCTTGGTTTCTGAGCTGTGCTGTGGCTTTCGCATGGTGAAAGATGCAAGCGACGGGCGCTTTCCTTCGGAGCTGCCTCTCGGCTCACAGTGTACAGGAAGAACCCAGAGCCTTCACTCCATGCGCTGGACTGGCTGACGGCAAGCTTGAAGCTATGGCCACGGACAGAAGATACGAGGCTCTTCTCTGGCACCGCCCTGCACCGGCCCTCCTCAGTGCTTTGCATAAGAGGTGAAGATGTCGGTGCCAGATGGCGAGCCTTTGCTTCATATCGAACTGTGCTCTGAATGGCGGCTATAGTATCCAGCAATCGGTCTGGGTCCCAGGCGGTGCCTGGCACCTTGTTGGATGTGTCGTGGGCTGAGAGCAGCCTTGCGGCCATTTTGGAAGATTGGGGCTCTTTCGGAGAGTCTGAGGCCTGTCAGAGGTGGCTCAGAGAAGGTTCGGATCCGAGTTCCGGACAGCTGTGGCGGTGGAAGCGTCTTGGCCCTCGGCTTAGCACTTTCTTCTCGAAACCTCGAAGGCTTCGGGCGCCTGGGCCCAGGTCCTGAGCCAGGCTGAGGGGAGCACTGAGTGGGACCTGAAGATCGAAGAGGCGAAGAGATGCGAAGCGCAGAGACGTAAGCGGTTAAGCGCTTCTGGACACGACGCTGAGGCGATAGCGCCTACGCAGGACCAGCCAACAGTCGACTAGCCGTGACTAGCTGACTAGCCTAGCAATATCTTGGTCTCCTGCTTGGGAGGATGCGAGCACCACTAGCGAGGTGATGAGGACTGTGTCGTCGGCCACAGTGACAGCTGCGACCCACGAGACGGCTGCGCGGAAGGAGTGCGCCAGTCATCCAGCCGGCGCAGGAGGACATAATCAGCGAGATGACCGAGCTGTTTGCTTGCATCGGCGATCTTTTTCAAGTGCAACATGGACACGGTTTTTGGCTGCAGGACAGCCCCAAGCCTACATTGTCTGAGCAGCCCGTGGCATACACCGTGAGGTGGGCAGTGCAGGTGGTTAAGTCCATTGTGCAGCGTGAGCCGAAAGGTTGGACACAACAGTGGGGGTTATCGATATCATTGTGAGACCCGTGATGGCCTCTGCTACCAAACTTTCGCGAAGCCGGCAGCCGGCAGTGCCGGTATTTCGTTGCCAAGGATTGGGCACCACACGGCACACGCCGCATCTCGACAGATCAAAGCACTGGAACGGTTGGCCGTGGCCGTTGCCAGAGTGCAGCACAGACGCTACAAGACAAGTAAGTGTGTGTGTGTGTGTTGTGCTCAGGATTCTTGGAACTGGCCACTTCAGGAGATCTTAGCAATCTCGCGTTTTATCGGGCGATCAAGGCAGTTGTCAAGTTGGTCAGGAGTGCCTCAGGCTGCTAGCCACATCCCCTGCCAGGGTTGCATCTCCCAGTTCGGCCTGCCACCAAAGCGACCGTGGCCACCCATACCGGACGACCCACCAACAGGCCTTCGGATGACATTCCACGCGTCAGTAAAACAAATCATCCAAATTGATGAGATCCGTGCAACAGGAGTGCCTTTCTTGCTGGGTGCTGTGAGTTTTGCGGCAATAGGCTGGATGGGCTTGCAAAATGCAAAACTAAGCGCAGGCAGGCTGAAGCACAGGTAGCCAGCTGCATTCGTTGTGCGTGGGAGGCCCAAATGCTCGGAAATCTACGCTCTTCATTTGCACGGGCGACATGTCCCACTGCTTGGGCGACAAGTCGTGGGACCCTGCAGGGTTCTGGAGTGCATGCTTGAAAGCCGGCCATTTGCGTGGTGCATGGGTAGCCCTCTCAAGAAGGAGACACCAATTGGGGCTGTGGCGGAGGCTTTGTTGCTTGGTGATCAGCAATAGAACTTTAGAGCGTTTGAGTGTGAAGGCCTCGCTGGATGTGCTGGACTACATTGAAACAGTTTATGGCGACCAGATCGCAGAATGGATGAAAGCGTTAAAGAGTCTTAAAGCACTGCAAGCATGTTCCCTTCTTCGCTTCTTTTTGCTTCGGCCGTCGCCCGAGGCGACATCGTGGAGTTTGGTGGGCAGGGCCCGGCCCGGAGCTCTGTATGCGAACTTACACTTCTGCGATCGTACTTCGTGGGCATTAGGACTGTTAAGAATTATTAGGAACCGTAATTGTTCTGCAGGGTTTCAGCTGTCGCTATCAGCATCAACATGTATCTCGAATTGGGTTGAAGTGCATGCCATGTTTTCTGCATGTTCTTACCTAAGGACACAAGCAGAATAAATGCCGAGGGGTGCCTTTGCAGCACTTCCCACCTGAATCCTCTTTTGTCGGGTGCATGGATGCTCTCAGGAACTTGTACCTCCAGACAAACTTTCCGAAGCTGACCTACATCAGATCAGCCACTGTGCTGGACGATGGTGGTGGGCTTACTGCTCCTGAAGCTGGTGATGGGCTTGCCAGTGGGTGCTCAAACATCTCGTCAGGTGCCGACTCCCCCCCAAAGGAAACGCATGAGGTGAAGGCAGAATTCTGATAGCGCCTCTGCGGAGAGTGGGGTGGAGTCGTTTGAATCCAGCTCGGCTTGCTTTGTGGGGCTGTGGTGGGCCACCCGTGACAGGAAGACCTGAGCGCCGTGAGCCGTGCTGTGCAGGACTCCATTTGTGCAAGCTTTGTCGACAGAAATGACTTTTCGCATACGCCTTTCATGAACTTGCTCATTTCTTCGGTGTGGGTTTTGAGCCTGCAAGAGGAAGCAGAGGGTCTGGCAAGGGCGAATGCAGGCTCCGCGCAACAGGCCTGTCCTGACATGACGGGTGAGGAGACGGGCAAGACGGGGCATCCGAACAAGAGTGGTGAAAAAGTCCGAGTTTGAGTATGCCCCTTGTAGTCATAGTCCAGGCACTGCATCAGGCGCAAGCGGCGGCTGCTACTGACTCCTTCGAGGAGTTGCGGGCAGCAGTGAGGCGAAGACTTGACTTGAAGCCTCGCTTGTTTGGTTTGTTTTGGTGTCAGGCTCCTTGCTTTGTATTCCCAAAGTAGGAGAAGGAGAGGGCAAAGGTGAAGCACTGCCGAAGCCATGGGAGGCGAGCCAGGCAAGCTGCTGATGCTGCTGAGGCCGCGGCCAAGGCTCGATGTGGATCTTGGAAGCTCTGATGAGTCTGATGCAGAGCTCAAATGCGAAGGCAGCGGAAGCTGCACAGGCGGCTGCAGAGAGCAGACATGCCCCTGCGGCAAACCATGTCAGCGTGGCACCACAAGCGCAGCGTGCCCTGAAGTTCTACGTGTCACGCTGAAGTTTCCCCCGATACTGCATCGACAGTCTGCGGGCGCTGTAGGCAAATGGCGTCGCCAGCTGTGGCCATGCCTCAACAGCAGGTGGTGCCATGTACAGCGCCTTGACTTCAGACAGCAGATGACAGCAGGTTGCCAGAACGCTGCCATTTTACGGCGCGTCATTGTGGGCAGCCATGAGAAGGCAGGTACAGGCCGAGATTTACTCTAGGGGAGCAAGAGCTGAGGTGCCGGCTATGGTGCCTTCGCCATGCCCAGGCAGCATTTGCACCTCGGTTCTTGTGATGCTGAGTCATGCCTCAAATGGCCATGCATGTTGGGGACGGACATTCTATGATGCATGATCCGATCAGCCGTCACTGTCTCGCGGAATGCAAGTTGTTTGTTCGCGGCAGTGCTGCAAATTCCTCGCCTGTGATCTTTTCTGGGCCTTCTACTCTGGAGAGTATGGATGTCGTTCGAGTTTGCACCTTCTTCGCTTCGTTCCAGTTCGGAGGAAGTCCCTGCGGTGTGACTTGGTCAGCTCCACGGGTGGGAAAAATCTTGCCAGTCCTCAAATTTTGATCAAAGTGCACTATTCCAAAACCCATCCTGCCTTCTGACATGGGGGGCATGCAGACTGGAAGGGTGGGGGAGTCAACCCTTCTACTAACAGTTTCGCGCTGCAATTTTCACTGCAACAGCATCGGGCATCGCTTGACTGGATTCTGTATCAAACTATGCGGGTTAACCCCTCGGCTTCACACATGTTTTTGGGATACCTCTTGCTACGTAGGCAGTCTTCAGACTTGTGTCCTCGGCAGGTCCACAGCGAATGCCTAGCATCCAGGCTCCAGGCAATCCAACCGTGCAGGCTCAACTTGGCCAGGGCATGCCAGGGCCAGGGTAGTCCCAGTTTGAGGGTGGATGTTCAAAGCCCCATTGGAAGCTCATGACAAGCTGCAGGCTCTCCAGTTTGCCCATGGCCCACCGCCTGCGCACATGCAGCAGCCGCTATTCCGCATGACGGGACGCAAGTGTATCATACTTGGCGGCTGCCTTCTGCAACATTTGTCGTGAGGGGCAATCACATGGCTTGCTTTTCCAGTGCGACTGGACAATGTCAGCATCTAGAATTCTAGAAGCTACCGCTAAGATCACCAAGACCCACTGCCAGGTTGCCCCTGAGGCCCCAGATGCCGGCCCACGGTCAGGCTCAGCTGTCTTTCCGACGTTTGAGGTTTCTGTGCTCACGGAACTCTCGAATGCGGCAGAGGCCATGGTACCTCCATTCATGGGACTTGCTGGCTGCAGACCTCTTGCTCCACAAGTCGCACAGGCCCTGATCTGACACAAGTCTCAAAGTCATTTGAATGATGCGTTAGCTCCAGCCCATGCGCAGGGGGCGTTCCCTGTGATGAACGGAGGTCAGATCCTCAACGCGGGAGATGTTTTACAGCTCCGTAGCTGCTATAGCTGGAGTGCAAAGGCTGCGCAGTTCCACAGCCAGCGCCGTCTCCAATGATTCCTCAGGCCCAAGCCAAGCCCAACAATAATATTATATTATATTATATTA